CTGGGGTACAGATTCATCTGGCCAGCAGAGTAGAACCCAGGATAGTGCCCAGGGTAGAAACCAAGGATTGGAGAAGCTGAGGCCAGCCCACAGAGGCTCTGAGTCCTAGGCTGAGCTTTCCTCCTGGGGCCAAAGGTTGGACAGCTAAATACCATGCCCAGGGAGCTATTTGGGAGCTATCTGGGAGCAGAGGTGGTGGGCAAGGCCATCAGGTATTCCCTGCCCTGAGCTTTCTCAGCACAAAGCCTGTCGGATCCTTTCTGGAGTTCTGACATCCTGAGAGGAGACTTAGCATCAAAGATGTCCTTATCAAAGGCATTTTTGTTATAGTCTGGGGTCATGTGCCTGTAATCCCAGCTACTTGGGAGGCTGAGGCTCCTAGACCCTGTCTCAAAATAAAATAAAAAGGTCTGGGGATGTAGCATAGGGTGGAGTGCTTGCCTAGCTTGTGTAAAGCCTTGGGTTCAATCTCCAGTGTGTGTGTGGTGGGGGCAGGGATATTTTGTCCAGATGGAGTGCTGAATGGTGGGATTTGAGAGTCTCTGGGCCTTCCTTGAAAGGGAGTTTTTCAGAGAGAGACTGGAGACCTTAGCTTCATGCCTGGGGTGGTGGAGCCTATAGCTTCCTTTGGAATAAGAATCCAAGCAGGGGCTGGATTGTGACTCAGTGGTAGAGAGCTTGCCTAGTATGTTTGAGGCACTGGTTTCGATTCTCAGCACCACATAAAAATAAATAAATAAAATAAAGGTCCATTAAGAACTAATAAAAATATATTTTTTTAAAAATACAAACTCCCAAGGGTCCTGCCATGGACCACTGCATGTTACACATCCCCTTACATATTTCTTTCTTTGCAGGATATCCATTAGGCATCCCTGTCTCCCCACTCTCCACAGACCCACATATGGCCATTTCCCTGACAACTATATTAGAATATAAGACATCCTCCCAGACTCACACACACACACACACCATTATTACACTAATATTTTCACACATATGTGCGCAGCACAGAGGAACATTTATAGAAACCAGCACTCACATGCTGTTGTAGAAAACACACATTCACTTATATTCTCACACATACCTCATGGGAAAAACCCAGTTGTAGAAACAACCCAAACTATTTCTCTGCTCCAACAATCTTACCAACATGTGTTTCACTTGCAGTTGTATCTCAACAGCCCAACACAGTGCCTGATATGTAATAGACACTCAATAAATATTCATGGAATAATTTTAAAAATTATTCCTTAAAGACATGCTCAGGACATCTGCACAGCCCTCTCAACCCTCACCGTCACATGTACTTTCACATCTGTCTTTCCCCTTGTAGATATACAGTCCCATGAACAAAGTAATTAAGTTACCACATATACCCCTAAGCTAAAGGACAACCCCTGGCGCAAGGGTCTCTCCCAGAGGGGGGAGGGAGCTGTGTGGGATCCAAAGAGGCTTCCCCCTGGGACCTTCCCAGTCCTTCTCTCCACCCCCAGCTCTGGCCTCAGCCCCAGCTGCTCCCCCTTTAATTGGAGACACTTCTTTATTCAGCTGGTGAGGGGGAGATGGTGTTGGGGGACAGGAGTTACCAGGTGGCCTCAGGACTGGAGAAAAACGGTCTGCACTCACCTAGGCTCAAGAGTGCAAGATAGTCCTGCAAGGCAAGAGCCAAGGTGAGTGTTGAGGAAGCAGCTTGTGATAGTGGAGTCCCAAAGCAGTGCTGAAGTCTAGTCTCTGCCCCTGCCTAACTTTCAGTACCTTGAGGTTTTCTCATTTGTAAACTGAAGATAACAAAAACACAGAATTATTGGAGGGTGAAAAGAGAAATAATTACTGTGATTGAAGGCAACTAGGACATCTCAGTGCTTTGTGAGTCCTGCTTCCTTCCCAGCCCTCCTCTTCCCTAGCAGTACCTCTCTGCAAGGAATGCTAAGTACAGTGGAAACACAGAACCTGCACCAAATAAACACAAGCTCTGTGTCACTGTCCTTCCCCCACTTTAGAAGACTTTCAGACCTGCAGTATGGTGCTCAGGTAACAGCACTTCCAGGAGATGCAGTAAAGGCAAGAACCCAACAAATTCTAACCCCTTTGTCTTATCTTTCTAGGCAAGGACCAAAAAGGTAGCCCTGGTCCTCAATAACTATCCCATTGGAGAACTGAGGTCAAGTGGAGTCACAGAACTACCTCAGAAGTGGATTGGGATAAAAGTTTACTTAGATAAGAAGGTAAGGAAGGGGGAGGGCAGAGGAAAGCCAGGCTATCCCTAAGGTGCTAGATTTTGATAAGAAGAGCTGGACAATCTTAGTTGATCACTAGGAGCTGTGACCTCTGCCAACCTGGGCCAGCAAGGGCAAAGTTTCCTCCCTGGCACCCTGGACAACTGGTGCTAGATCTGAGGAGTTTAAGAGGTGAGTCAGGCAGATGCCAAAGGGTTGGAAGAGACAGGGTTGGAAGGTCAGAACCTGGAAAGGTACATTTCTGGAGGGAGAAGAAGAGAGGAAGAGGAGAATATTAGGAAAACTCAAGTACTTTCATATACTGGCCAGAGGGTGGCAAAGAGAAGTTGTTCTGAAGCTAATCTAGAAGTATAGGATTTTAACTGCAGTAGGCAGAAAGAACTGTGGTTAGAAAAGGAGTAAATCCATTGGGATTCAACCTCAAAGGCACTATGGCGCCCTTCCCGTGATTTTTTCAATCTCCTACAGGAGGAAATAGTTCAGTTTTGGGGATTCAGATCAATCCTTTTCTGCTTACAGAAACTTGGGCAGGTTTGTTCCCCTCATGAGTCTCAGTTTTCATTTCTTTCCTTTCTTCCTTTGTTAGGGATTGAATCCAGGGCTTCACACATGGTAGGCCAGTACTCTAGCACTGAGTACACTCCCAGTCCCTTTTTAAAAAAAAATTTAAGAAGGAAATATAATTCATGCACCACAGGATTAAGCCTTTAATATGTACAATTCAGCATTTCTTAGTATATTCACAAAATTGCAACATTTACCACTATCTAATGGAATCTTTTCATCATTCCAAAACAAAACTTGGTACCCATTGACAGTCACTTCTTTGTCCCTCTCCTCTCAACCTCTGGCAACCACAAATCTACTTTCTACCTGTATGAATTTGTCTATGTTGGAAATTTCATTTAAATGGAATCATATGGCCTTTTGTGCCTGGCTTCTTTCACTTAGTATAATGCTTCCTAGGTTCATCTTTGTTGTAGCATGAACCAGTACTTTCTTTTTTGTTTCTTTTTAGGGTGGAATGATGTTCCATTGAATGAACATGTCACATTTTGTTTATACATTCATTATTTGATGGGCATTTGAGTTGTTTACACTTTCTGGTTGTTATGAATAATTATTGCCATGAAATTTCATTCAGTTTTATTAACTATAAAAAAGTGGACATATATATTAACTTCACAGGATTACTATGAGTCTTAAGTAAGATGTGTGATGTGGTACCAGGCACATAGTAGTTATTCAGTAAACATTTGTGTTCCTTCAAGATAAGAACCAGGAAAGAGACTCATTTAGTTTTAAACAACTTCCAAATAAGTTTTGGAACCTTCTGGGTTGTATATAATACCTGGATTGGTGGGGGGGGGGGTAACAGAACTACTAAAGGAGTGGACCTTCCTTCTCATAGCTTTGTTTAGTGTTATAAACAACTACTAACCCATATCTGACTATGTCTCAAGGGAGCCTTTGTCCCCTTGGCTGGAGATCAGAGTTTTCCCCCTTGTAGATCAGCTTCCAGCCAGCAGCCAGGTTTCTAGGCTAACCTACAAAAGCAAGGCCAGTCTAGTTCTTCCATCTTGATCTATACCAACTTAGCCTCTCCAGTCCTCCCATCTGTAAAGTTGGAATAATATTCATCTCAAAGGGTTGCTGTCAAGTTTATATAGTTCTATATAATACTTACTAACATCTGGCTTATTTATTTATTTGCAGTACTGATGATAGAACCCAGGGGGCACTATCCCACTGAGCTATGTTCCCAGCCTCCCCCACTTTTTTAAAATTATGAGACAAGGTCTCCCTAAGTTGCCCGGACTAGTTGAATTTGCTGTCCTCCTTCCTCAGCCTCCCAAGTACTTACAGATTACAGCCCTGTGTGTTGCACTTGATCTGTCTTCTTTGTTTATTGTCTGACCCTCCTCCATAGACTGTAATCTCTATGAAGTCAGAAACCTTGTTTGGTTCATTGCTGTGTCTCCAGTACCTAGAACAGTGCCAGGCACATAGTAAGTACTCAATACATATTTGTTGACTAAAGATCCACTCATTCATTATTCACAAGATGAACGTATTTTATTGATTTGGTCTGTATTGGCTGGGGGACACAGATGAGTAAACTACTTCCTGCCTTCAGGACGATCTTTTCAAGTGGAAGTGATGGACATGACCAAAACAAATAGATTACAGTGAGACTTGAATGGTAGAATGTGAACCTTCACATTCTAGCATCTTACCTGGTAGAGATAAACCCTCCCAGAAGGTTGAATCTGAATGGGACCTCCCTTTCTCAGAGCTTCGCTCCTAGGAGGGAGCAGACCTTTCCCGACTGGAGAGGGGAAAGAGAGGAAGCAGAAAAAGGGAGTTTCCTCCTTCTCTCTTGGGCTCTCAGCCAGGCAGCCACAGGCAAAGCTTTGAAAAGGCCTAAATTTGTCCTGGATGCACTTCCCTGATCCTAGTCCCACCAACCCCAGGCCCCACTGCCTTAAGCCCTTAGGTCTCCTGCCCTGAGACTCCAAAAGTAACAAAATAATTCCTTCTTCTCACTGCAGTTTAAAGGCTTCTTGCTTGGAATAGCCAGCCTGGGCTAGGTGCTAGGTGGAAAGTAAAACAAACTGGTTGGTTGGATTCATTCAAACAGACAGGAGATTGCTTCTTGAAGAATGTGTTTATTTAAATGGAAAGGGGTATCTTGAGGATGGAGCACCCCAGCAGCAAGCCCTGAACCAACTCTCCACTTGTACCTGCCTTTCAGGAAGTCTTACCTTCCTTAATTTCTCTAAAGGGGCTGAGTTGGTTTCGCTGCTGCTTTTTATAACAATATGTAGCTAGCTGTTCATAGGCCCTGTTTTAAAGAAGGACAAGCCTGAACTCACCCTCCTGCCTCAGGGCCTGGGCTCCATACCTGGGAGAAGACAAGTCTTCTACCTTCTAACAAGACGGACTTGAAGTTGGAGTAAATCGCCTGGTTGAGTGACAGGTGTTTCCCAGCTGAGCCCTTGGGGAGATTCTCCAGTTGGGCAGGACACCCGTCCCCAGAGGCTTGGTGGGCTGGACTTCTTTGGCCCAGTCCAAAAATGAGGGGGCAGCTCCTTCCAGGAGAGGCAAAGTACTCTCACTTCTCCCTCCTTGGGTCTGTCTGTCTGTCCATTCTTGGGAATGGCCACTTCCTGTTCCTTTTCTTTCTCATTCTAAGCCTCTCCTCATTGTTCCCCTCTTCCCTCTCTACAGGAACTACTCAAAGCCTTGGTCTCTGTCCCTCTGTCTCTGGCTCTTGCATCTGTCTGGGCTCCTGGCCTCTTCTCCCCCTCTCTCCCCCTCCCCCGCGCTGTCATTCACCCGGCTCCTCTCAGCGTACAGCCAATGGAGAGACCCGGCCGAAACTGCGAGGCTCGCTAGCACAGGGCTTTTTCGCCCGGTGATTGATGTCCCAGAGTCAACAGCGAGCAAGCAGCCGGAGAGGGGAAGGAGAAGCCGCAGAAGGGAAGAATACGGAGCCCCTTCTCTCTCTCCCCTCCCCCCTACTTTAGCCCTTCTGCGCACTTCGTCTTCAAGTCTTCGGCGCAGCCAGGAGCCGCTGTTGCCTCCGCGCCCCCCTGCTTGCTGCCCCCCATAACCAAGCGCAGCAAGCACCCGCCGCCCGGGCCCCCCCGTGGGGCCGGGGCCAGCATGGAGCATCTGGGTCCGCACCACCTCCACCCGGGCCACGCGGAGCCCATCAGCTTCGGCATTGACCAGATCCTCAACAGCCCGGACCAAGGCGGCTGCATGGGGCCGGCCTCTCGCCTCCAGGACGGAGAATACGGCCTTG